AGGCTTTCGACAAGGTGCCAACTAATAGACTACTGTTGAAGTTGGAAGACCTTTGTATTGCCGGACCTCTTTTAAAATGGATTAAGGATTTCCTAGTAGGTCTTAGACAGAAAGTAAGAATAAATTCCAAGTGCTCCATCTGGAGACCAGTACTTAGTGAGGTACCTCAAGGTTCCATCCTAGGTCCTTTACTTTTTATAATGTATGTTAATGATCTTCAAGGTATAGTAAGGTCCCCAATACGCTGACAATGTAAAGATCTGGCGAGTAATAACTGGAGACGCAGATACATGTGCTCTTCATGTAGACTTAAATCATATGACTAACTGGTTTAAAAAGTGGCCGATGCCTATCAACGCGGCAGAAGGTGTATACATGCACTTTGAGGATACAAAGGTTAATAGGTATAGCATAGGGGAAGTGCCAGTACTCGTTGTCCGGTCTCAAAGATCTGGGGGTGACAGTGAGTCATGATCTTAAGACGACGGCCCATGCCGGGAGGTCTCAGCTAAGGGTTTTAGAACTCTATGGGCTTTAAAACGGACATTCACTAAGTTAGATAGTACCACGTTCACCACAGCATACACAGAGTTAGTGAGAACTAAGCTTAAGAACTGCGTTCAGGCTGCAAGCCCCTGTTTAAAAGGTAAATCGGATATCTTGGAAGAAGTTGCACATGCAATTCCAGAGCTACGGCGTTCACCATACAAAGAGCGGCTTGAAAAGCCCGACCTGTTTATCCTGTCCTATCGAATACTAAGTGGAGATCTTATTTTAATGTTCAGAATACTAAGAAATGATTTTGGACCTAACTTATTCTCTCCTTTTCTTCCCACTAGATGGGAACATCTCAGAGGACATAGCAGGTGAATAGAAAAGCGAAGAACGAACAAAATAATCGTGGCATACAGGTTTTCACACCGAGCTATCAATACTTGGAACCTGCTGCCCGAAGCTTTTCGAACGAGAAGTTTAGTCCTAACGTGATTTGCATTCATCAAACTTTCGCTGTGTTCTTACGCAACAAAAGTATCATTTCTGACCAAAAGAATCTATCCTGAGCTATACGTTCGGTAGATTACTTTTTTCCGAGTTTCACCCAACTTAATAGTTAACTGTGGTTTTGCCTTAGCTTACTTTTCGGTTTTTTTCAGTTTTTCACGTAGAAACTAGTTCAGTTTATCTCATCCGTTTTACCCATGCAAACGACCTGGATGCCGTTTTGCTGTTACATCTGGCATGCAGTGCGACAACTGCAAAGGTTGGTTCCACGAAGCGTGCACAGATCTCACAGCAACTGCTTACAACAGACTCAGCAAGTCGGGTCATAAATGGGAATGTGTTACATACAGCGTGGATGCTGTAGTCTTGCTGAGTAATATAATTGTCCTACTGACAGGTCTGCAGAGCAAGTCGTCAGCAAACTGGGGAAAAAACAGCCAAAAAATGGGTAGACAAACAAGAGAGCGCATTGAATACGAGAACAGGGATGTCGATAGGTCTACCAACGACGGAGCATGCAACAACATTAATGATGACACGCTGAAACTCAGCACCATGATTACGACGACGGTACTCGACTCCCCCAGCAAACTCGCGTCTCGCAGCTCAAAATCCTTGAACGCGACGGTGGTTCCCAAATACCCTGTAGGTGATTGGACCCGTGTTAAAAGAGCTAAAAAGGACCAGACGTCACAGTCTAAATTGAACATCCCAGCTGTTGAACGGAAGTCAGCTGGTGATCTATTCGCACGGTCTACTCCCAAGAATGTCCGTACGGTCATCAAAGAGCCAAGGATTCATAAACGTGCTTCAACCTCCAAACAACAAGGTGCTAAACCTGAATGCACCGTAAAACCTGGGACAACAATAACGGTTCGTGATGACTCTCTCATAGTCATGAACTTCAAAGGCAACCCTGACCTTCCTCTCAGTTTGCAGGACAAAAATGATAGGATGCTCTGGGTATAATTGAACAAGAAACTTGAACTTCCAAGAATTGAGCCTTTGACAGTCACATGGCTCACTCGGGGAAAGGAATCCAAGCATCAAAATCACCCGAGGCTACTTCGTGTAACACAAAAATGCTACCGATGTAGAGGATGTCTTACTAGCGAGTCATTTACTGAAATCAGATGGGAATGTAAGATTACTGCCTGGCATATCGTATTCTGAGCGCAATCTCATCCGAAACATCCCCAAAAAATCTCGCGATCAGTTTTTCCGCGGGAGGAATATAATCGTGCAAGGTATACCGGAAAATACGGACCCTACTCAATCAAAAACTGACATCAAGGAATGGAAATTCATCAAACAGTCCTTGAGGCTCAAAAACAGACTGACTCAATATGTGACGAGACTAGCCAAGAAGGACGGTGATCCAAACCCCGTCCAATGAAGATAACCTTCCCATCTTCCCATATGGTGGCTGCAACTCTCGAAGCAATTCGTGCCACCAGACGTCGGTTGCCAACTGGAATCCACAAGCACCCGGACAGGCGATATGAAGCCAGGACCAAGCACAAAGGCAAGTTGGAGCTGATCATTCCACTTATGGACTGTCTCGATGATTAAAAAAATGTGTAAAGGACAGGGCCTACCAACTCGGCAAACCTTATACAGGTGGGCTACTTGTCCATTCACGTAGGATATCCCACCAATAACTTGCTCTACACGACTATCTACAACAGGTGGTTTGGGATGTTCACCCTCAACTCGATGTGGACGGTCATTGGGACTTCTTACAGTACATGCTCTTATGTGCTACAAACCATTCAGTTCCTCAAACGGTTCCTGAAAGCTGCAAGCCACCTACAGTAATCAAGAACCGTACCCTTCGCCTGCTAAGCCGCAAAAGGCAATGTTGGGCGGAATACAAACGAACTGACAACGACGGAGCGTACAGGCAATATAAACATATCAGGAACATATGCACGAAGGCTATAAAAGAAAATAGACTTCAGTACCAGACAAAGCTTATGGACAAATTTTCCTCTAACCCTAAAAGCTTATTCCGTTATGCAGCCTCTCTTCGTCAAGCCAAAACTGGAGTTTCCCAATTGGTATGTCTTAACGGCCCGACCAACAACTATGGCGACGACGCTAACCTTCTGGCTGAACATTACTCCCAGACATTTCAAACGACCGACATCAACTTTACTGATGACAGTTTCATCTGCAGTTCCATAGGACTTTCCGAAGTGAACCTTAGCGCTGACTTGGTGTTCCGTAAACTGCAACACTTAAGACTAGACATTTCTCCTGCCCCGGACATGGTCCATTCCGCCATACTGAGGGAAGCAGCCTCAACCCTGGCAACGCCGCTTAGCGTGATGTTCTCACACTCGCCAAGTCGAGGCAAACTACCGGAGAATTGGAGGCTGGCTCACATCACACCAATTTTCAAAGGAGGTCAACGCAACGAACCTTCAAGTTACCGACAGGTGGCTCTCCTCTCAATACCTTCAAAAATCATGGAGTCCCTGATATGCGACGGTATAAATGACTGTTTACTGTCCTTAAATTTCTTCTCACCCCAACAGCATGGTTTCAGGAAGGGTTACGCTTGTATTACCAACCTGCCGACTGCGGTTTACAGATGGACAAGCACCCTTGATCACAAGGGGAAGGTTGATATCATCTACCTAGATTTCTCAAAAGCTTTTGATAAGGTTAACCATACATGTCTTATCAATAGGCTCAAACGATTGGGTATCAGACCACCTCTAATCGATTGGCTCACTTCATACCTGAAAGGTCGACATTTTAAGGACACGGTTAATTTCACTTTATCTCAGGCTATGGAATGTCCTAGTGGGTTCCCTTAGGGCTCAGTACTAGGACCTGTTCTCTTCTTGATATACATAAATGATCATCCTCAACAGGTAACGTCAGACTTGTTACCTTTGGCCGACGACGTGAAACTTTGGAGAGAGAGATACGCAACCAAGACGATATACAGGCACTTCAGGGGGGTCTGACTCGATGATAACCGGCTTAGCTTTAATGCTTCAAAGTGTAAAGTAGTCCATTTGTGACATGTTGCAGACTACAGTTGTAACTCAGGAAGCTCCTCTCTAGTAGTATCTCAAGTCGAAAAAGATTTAGGAGTCCCGGTGCCCTAGGATTTAAAGTCTTACGCTAACTGTGACAAAAATGCCTTCCGAGCAAACCTTGCACTGGTATAATTGAAGTGCATTTTTGACCGGTTTGACGGAAGAACTTTCCATATAATCTTCAATAGTTTTATCCGTCCACATTTAGAGTACGGAAACATAGACGTCTTAGAGGTGACCTTCTAATGGCTTACAGTATCCTTAACACTTCTGGACATCCACTTAAACACCTACTTAAGCTTAGTTCGAATAATAACCTAAGGGGTAACACCCAGAAACTGGAAACACAACATAGCAAGACGGAATGTAGACACAACTTCTACTCCTTAAGAGTTGTCAAAAGCTGGAACTCGCTGCCGGCCGAGCTAGTCCAAGCGACTTCTCAGGAGTCCTTCAAGAGGCAGCTTGACCTATTCTTAAGGACCAAGGACAGCATCACACTATGATTTACCAATTTCTTTTCCTCTTTTATTGTTAACATACCTAGGTTCCTGCCTGGAGGATTTGGTGATCCCCTGCTACTAGACACGGAAGCCTGTTAAGCGAAAGCTTCTTCTATTCCGTCCACAACCATTTGAACCATTTGAACCATTTGAAGCAGTGGTGACCGCATCTTAAATTGACTCATTCAAGAGAAGACTGGACACTCACAGGAGCACAATAGAAAAGGACTAAAATAAGCCGTAATCCTTCTGTCCTTACTACACAAATCTGAATCTAAATCTGAACTAAAATACCTATATTAATGGATTAATCAAATGCGAATATAGATCTGGCGCGAATATTCAACTGGTAACTGCTTCTGCTGTCATTTCTGTCCGTCCCAAGTGTCTTGGAGAATGGATATTGGAAAAGATTGCACCGTGAACTTTAATCATTGAAAAGATGGAAGAACTTCAAATTGCCTTTGTGGGGTCACCTCCACCTTCAGGAGAGGAGATTTGCGCTTCCGATATAAACTTTGATAGGACTCTTCCTGGTTTGCATCAAGTAATTTAACTTCTATCTAAGTAGTTTTTAGTATCTTGGAACAGATTTTATAGATGTAGGCGGGAGGACGTTTTTGGAGCCTGGGAGTGAGACTCATATGTATGCATTTTATCGCAAGGATGTTGTGTTGGTGCCCGGACATTCTCTTCCACTGATACCTTATGATCCATTGGAATCAGATCTTCTCCAAAAAATTAATAAGGAGAGAAAGCCCTTGATATTTCTTCCTGGGTAGTGAGTTGTCATTGTTCTACGTTTTCCTAGTGAGCATTGTATTTCACACATTTGCTACTTGTTTTTAATTCACAAGAACTAAAATTATTTTATTTTTGAGTAGAAAATATTTGTGTAACTTTTTTGCTGTTCATTTACCCCTAAACCGCCAGCTATGATAGGTGCAAAATGAGTGCTGTTGTACTCTCAAACTACTGCAAAGTGATGGACCCAGGTAGACTTGCCCAGTCATCTCTACAAATGATTTCCTAGTTTTAAAGTGTGCGTATTGCAGTTATCTATTCGCATATCTATCTAGGCTGTTTATGTCTAAGGTTCAACCCTGAAGCGATCACTTCAGAGAAATATATGACTAATTTATGTATATCAGGACAGGATGTTCGTTTGACAACTGTCTTTTGTAACTGTATGAATCACTAGCGATTCCCGATAATTACCACCATAGCCAGAATTACCTAGAGATCACAGTTTTTGGCTCAAGAATGCTTAAATGATTCGTGCTGGGGTCGTTTGCTGATAACTCGAATATGTACTGGACCTGAAGTAATTTGAAATCCTCTGTTGGGTTGCGATAATGATCTGCTATGAGCTAAATTTATCTTCCGTTTTGGCAGTCGAAAAGTATTGCGCTTAACGAATTTGTGTAAGTAAACTGGCTTCACTTACCATTCCATTCAAAGTGGAAAAATATTGGTTTGAGTCACTTGACAAAAAATGTGTGAATTCTCTTACCAATTCGTTGTGTCACAGTTATGAACAATGAGCTTCTGTAGTCCTTACAATTTCATTCAGTCATTCACAACGTAGAACCTGATGCGTATGTACATCTGTTCATGTTGCCCTACCCCTTAGCACACCTAGATGAAATCGTCAGGCCGAAACCTGTAGTTTATTTATTTAAGCACATAAACATTGGTACAAGGAGGCACCAAACACATATGCGCCACATAAGTCGAATAATTTGTATGAGGGCCGGAATACTGCCCGGGTGCCCAAACGGAAGCAGGAAATCCCGGAATAGTGAAGGTAGTAACAGTATTAGTGGGAATAGGAAGATCAGGCATCGAGGATACAGTTCGACAAGTAAATATAATTTAGTGAAGGAAAGACAACATACGTCCTGGAAAATTTAGAATCTCACGATTTGGGGTAAGACAAAAATGGATTCATCTGTGTCATTGCAAACGATTTTGAGCCATGTCATTTAAAGTCACTAACCATTGGTTACGATTATCGTGCGGACCCCAGCCAGGCAGTTCACACCTATTAACATGGCTAAGTCCAGTGGTTTATGTGTCCCCTGTTTTTATTTGACTGCTTATTGGCTTTTCCCGTTCTACTCCATCAGGAAACCGGTCGTTAAGGTTGATGGTAGTTGGGCATACGTGACATTTCCCAACCATCTCAGTCGATGAAGATTTACTACATCGTCAGTCAATTTGTCATCCTTACCTAGCATCATGTTCCTAACTCAGGCATTACTTGCTTCCTGGACCTGAAATAAACGAGCAATGCTTCGAAGACACATAATCGAATACCAGTAACCTACGAATATCCTCTTTTCTAATGGCCATGTCTCACATTTCAATGAAAAACATTGCCACAAAACTTCATGATCAACGGAGTCGAACTCTACCTTAAGGTCTCTTACAATCCGGTCTTTTCCAGATTGCATGTACGACAATAAGCCTAAGTCCGTAAATTTACAATTTTCTAATCCTTACGTTAATATTACGTAATCTTTAGGTCAGTCTGTGATACAGAGTTGGGAACAATAGGTGCACTTAATAATTAAGGAGAACTGTTCTGACTAATCCCAAAGACTGTCGTTTCCAACTCTTAAGGAATGGTTTCATAATTTATGAAATTACTAAGGGTCGCACATCTCACCAGTTGAGCTATCCTCTTTACATCCGGATTGTCTATCATAAATTTTCTTGAAATCTGTCCTAATCTCTTTTCAGACAAATAATTATGGGGAACTCTATTTACTCTTCCTATAGAATTTCTTATAGCTAATTCGGGAATGTCTCACTGTGATATTTTCAACCTTTAAATACTTGTCTTTAACATTGGCTTTCATCTTGCTTTCCTGTTTGTTGAATTTTAGTCAAGATCATGTGAGCTTGGGGGATTTTATTGGTTGTGTTGGTACTACGGCTGACTTAGTTGCCATCTGTATTCCTGATTCAAACGAAAATGCTCCTATTCGTGCTATGTTTATTGGCAGACAACGGATTCGTATCACTAAAGCAACGCGTGACTCTTTATAGTAATTTTTTCACATAAATTATCGACTTCATACCAATTTTTTATTTGATCGTAGCATAACTATATTCTTCGTTAACACTGATATAATAATTCCATGCAGTCCAGATTTATTTCAATAAACGAAAATACTCATTGAGAAGAGTTCTCTTCTCAAAGAATTCGTTTTTAAAGCTGCACAACCGCAACTATATACTTTACAGAAGGATAATCGGTAATGAGTTAATTACGATAATAACAACTACTCATTATAGCAGTGATAGATTCGTTAAATATAGTAACCGAGCGAAATAAACTAAAACACATAAATGTTATACTTAATAGTAAATTGACGGTGCAGTTCCTATAAGCTTGAGTAAGAAGAATAAATGGCATTTTGTGGTAAGATGAAATGTCGAAGCTATGATGACTTCTATGATCGGAAAAAGCATGGTAACAAAATGAGTCGATTGGGGAGGGGTAAAAGGTTAGCTGAGAAGACAGGAGGGAAAGTGATGAGTTGTAAAAACTTTAAGATTAAGGCCATAGTTTATCGTGTACATATAGTTCTGGGTTTTCCAGATGTATCGTGAAAGGTTCGGCAATGTTGAAAAGAAAATGATTCACTGTCTTCGACAGCTTTCTGTTTACATTGTAGATGACTAAACTATATGTATTTTAGTCGAATGACATGTGTTCACATGGTGTTCGATTTTGGAACTTCGTACCAAACCGATTCTGCATCTTTTCAGCCAAGTTGGGTTGTGTTGTTGAATTCTCTCGTATAGACCGCGCACCGAACGACACGTAGAGGTAGCCCACGTGAGCAGGTGGATTGATTAATGTCTATATAAGTGGTCAAACATTAGAGTTTGTCCTATAAATTGCAACTGAACATTGGTCGACTGTAAAATACTAATCGTAAAGAAACTTGCTACATGGATACGAAGAACTCACAGTCCCAAAACGACATAATAAAGTAGACTTCTTATGGAAAATGGCTATCGAGAGTGGGTATCAACAGAAATTTGTTGACAAATACAATTCAAACTATGCTCCGACGTCGATTTTAAAGGTAAAAAAATATGCGGACATCTTGAGAAAAATTTGTGACTATCAAAAGAACTTTCTTCGCACCCACCTTACGATTAGTATTCCACGATCGACCAATGTTCATTAACAACATTCGACTATTTGTATACGTATTTATCAATTCTCCTGCTGTCATATCATCAGAACTGGATGAAATTAACAAGATGAGAAAATAGTTATCTCCATGAGATTATATATAAAAGATAAAGTAATGTTGCGCAACTTTGATTGGAGAGTAGCTAAAGGTTACTTTAACTATTACTCACTGCTTCACTCAGTCGCCAGGTCTAAAAGTAGAAAATACAGTCTTTTTCCGGTATATTTAAGTTGGCCGCTGACATTCTAGTCTCAATTCTTTTGATTAGTCTTCGCAGCTGCCCCATGTTTAATTTCATTAAAAATCTATCTATTTTATCTCCTGTCCCCATCAGGACTCAATATCTTTGCGTTAAATTGTAGATATGGTATGAAATAGGTTTTAAATGTCAAATGTGACTTTTAAAAAAGTCACATTTTTAGAGTACAAGTATTTTGACGCGTGTTTTTATTTGTTGAAATAATGAAATCCTCCATAATACTTTGTACTTGATCGATAATTACTCATAACATTGAATTACTGTCCTAGCTTCCTAAAATAAACTGATATTAATATAAAATTGAGATGAAATTTTTCCTGGTAAGTCGACACGCTTATATACAAAACACTGGACGCAAGAATAACCATTATAGGTTGTTTAGAACAAGCAGTTTTTATGACGTGAACTTCGTAAGCCACTTACGCATAAATACAGCTAAGGCTTGTCTGTCAGGGTTATATCTTGCTCGTCACCTCAAATACACTTTACTACACATATTTTGAAGAATAAATATACAAGTTGACTTAATGAACCTTTCAATTAATATCATCACGAGCGTTTAGTTTTCATTCAGAAATAAGAAACTTAGAGTCATAAAATCTCTTGTCATGTTTTCCTATCCATTCAGTTTTATAATGATTGGTAGTATGAGCAGTAAAACCTCCTAAGGTAGTAATAATCGAATATCCTACAATAGAATAATGTAATTTTTTTCTTATGGACTGCTTTCAGAATGATAGTTTTCCTCACTTGGCCGTTTCAACCTTATTTATTGTTCTTGTAAGCTTCTGAACGATACATTTGTAAATTCCCACGTCTTCCTTCATATTCTCTGTTTCACTTCGCTTTCTTAATTATAGCCCTCTTGTTTGTCATGGTACAATTTTACCAGAAGCATCTTTTGATCGTGAAATGGCCAGTCACCCTTTGGGTTGGGGATTGATTCCTCGATCATTGTCTCGTTTCGGTCGCGACCCACTACCAGCACGTCCAAGTTCTCAGAATTCCAACTCATTAAACCAAGTTTCAGCCAGTGCAGTGTCTACAAAGTATGTTTAGCATAGTACTTTGTTGAATGATAACTAAATTTCATTGTATTTTCAAAAAGTCATTTTTTAAAGTGTCAGTTATGATCTGTTGCGGAGGATCTTCATTGTTAAGACAACTTCCTTGCAATTATTATTTTTAGGTATTCAAACACTCGTCCCTCTCACAATAGTCTACCCAGTTCTCCCCCATCACATTCTCTCACAGTAAACTTTTGTGTCCCACCAGCAGGCAATGCCTTTTCTATTTTCGATTCCCGGTTGAGTACCTGGAGAACTGCAGGACCCATCAGCTCTGGAAATATATATCCGTCATGTAGCTCCGCAGGAGCTCGACTTGATCATTTTGTTGACGATGGTTCAGACCAGGAAGACAACTCAAAAAAATCGAAATGTGATCCTGATAAGTTTGACAATGAAGGCGATACGGAGGTAAATTGTGCATCATCCAGTTATAACAAAAAGCAGGTTGTAAAATCAGGAAATAAACTAGCTAGATCTTCCTCACTTTCAGAAGACATTGAATTAATTGTGGATCGTGCTGTTGATCGAGTTGGCAGACCCTTTCATTATCGTATCAAACAGCTTTGTGATCCTCGTCTCTTGGCTCGTCGTGATGTTTTAGCCGCAGTTGCGCAAGCTTACGCTTCTCTACCGTATTGGGTTTATCGACAGTATGATTTGGTAGGTTTCAGTTATCATCTTTCTGATTTTCATGTCTTTAAATTGATTTCTTCATAGTATTTCATCCGTTTCATAACTACAAAAATCAAATAAATGTTCAAATAATTTGTTTGTGAGGATCTCATTTGACAGTAATATTGATATCAAAGGTGCACGTAAAACAATAGTTTATGTTGGTATTCATGAAACTTACTTCATTTTATTTAGATCTGTAAATTTTAAGCCTTTTACTTATATGATCTGCCAGCGATTCCGTGAGAATAGCCAATTCATTTACAGATCTAGTTTTATTTGTGTATGTAATCAATAACAGGTGCATCAGGAACGTTAAAATTTAAGATTCGTATCTTTAATGAATAATTCCTCTCAGATCGCATTCAATTTTAACCTAAAAGCAATATATCATTATCCTACTACGTCAATGCTATCGTTTTATGTACCAGTTTAGAAATCATCATTATGTGTGAAGTGTTGAGAAGTTGGTGAATCGATGAAACAGTATATATCGTGTAGTTGTGAATATATGATGATGCTATACATATAAGCTATTGTTTTGTTTACATTAGCTTTATTTCGTATCCACGACTTCACTGTATGACCCTTAGGTACAATATTCTTGTTCACTTTCCTGGGAATATAAATATTATTACCTCAAAAACATTTAAAAGTTATATGACTTTCATGTTTACGTATTGCACTAATATATGTGGATTCTCGATTCATTTGTGTAAAACTAACATTAATTTGGCCCACAATCTTTTCTGTTTTTCATCTTTATTCATTATCACTAGTTATTTTTTAGTTTTAATACGTGCCTAGATTCCAAAATGGCTTTAGTGACTAAAGATCACTCGCTCCTGTACGTGGCCCTGAATTTTTGTTTATAGATCTACCAAAATTGGTTCCAGTTACCTCTTAATAACAGTTACATTTTTATGTGACTAACTACTAGTGCCTCCGTTTCAAATAGGTGAACAAGCTTATAAACAGTTCGGTATCAAGTGTGGATATTTAGGAGCTGTTGTTAAAAAGTTTTATTTTTCCATATTTATAACCTGACTGAAACCGATAGTCTGTTGGATCAAATACTTTATCTTGCTTTGTGGATAAATATTTTGGACTAGTCTTTGCAACTCATTTTCATAATATACTAGTATATTTGGTAAAATATCTGCTAGTTTTTAGGAATACACTATACATGGTGTTTTATTAAGAGTAAAATGTCACTAGATATGATCATATTATTTGAATAAGACTGATAGTTCTAGAGGAAGATTGATACCATAGCATGTTCCAAATTCAGAAAAAACGTTCAGATTATTCTGTAAAAATATGGCATAATAGAAAAGGGTGTTAAATGAGCTAAAAAAATCAAAGTTTAGTCTGCTATTAGCGGTATCGCATTTGTGGTTTTTTAATCTTTGGTACAAAAAGGCTTTAGTGACTTACTGATATGGTCGAAATCGCTTACGTGACTAATAGTAATCTCAGCCACTCATTGATAACTTGTCCAAAACGAATTTTCAAGTGATACCCCCTTATTCTATACATAACGAAGCCAGTTGTATTTTGGAAGTGAGTTTAATCAGCCCACTTGTTTGCTAATTTATTGCACATCTTCTAAATCGGAATGCTGTTATATTTAATTGGTTGTAGAATTATTTAGTTGCAGCCATTCAAGCGGAACTTTATAATTGGAATGATACTTGGCAAGTTGATAAATGGAATCCTGAATTAGCCGTCCCTTTTTCTTACTGGCTAATACAAAATCTTCCGATGTCTGGTTCGTTGAAATCTCATATATTGGGTATCGATCATGTTGTACAACGTTTACGGGCTTTGCTAGAAGTTATACGCCGTGTGAGTATATGTATACATATATTTGAACATAAAGTTTGTTACGAAGGGGAACGAAAATATACATGCGTCACACAAATAATTGGGTTTTTGTGAGCTTGAATACTACCTGAGTGACCAAGAATATGTTCATACGCCATTGATTTGGAATCAAAGTTTCCATATTCCTCTAGGTAGATCCTCTCTACTTACCAACCCGGTTTAATTACCGGACTTCGCTTTTCTTCCTCTGAATTTTGTAAACATGCCCACCACGAGAATGCAGTTTGTAGGACTTCTGGAGAAGTGGCTATATACACCTAGCCATATAAGAGCATTTCGAGAGTAAGAGCGGATTATTCTCACTTTCCGCCGTGCCAGAGCATTTAGGCTCATACATATAGGAGGTGGTTTGTGATCAGTTCGAAGTTAGTTATTTGGTCGTTTTGAGTTTTTGAAAGTATATCTGTTTTCAGGGAGGACGCTATCCAAAAGCTTTTTCATAATATAATGACTGATGAAAGCCCAATATCTTTTTTAACGCTCAGTTCTTGTCACTGATAGATGATGGACCCATATAGCACTTATATAAAGGTCTCATAATACCTTTCAACTAAATCCGCATGATAGAATGTTTTTAACGGTTGGATTCATGTGCTGATCTAAGCTAGACCATCATTAAAAACCTGAAAACACTGAGCGGCCGTCTCGTTCTAGTGTGGGACTCCACAGCAGTGGGCATCCACAACCCTACACGTGGGACTCGAACCCAGGACCTTCGGTTCACGTGCGTATTCTTAACCTCCAGACCACTAAGCCGGAATCCAGTGATGTTAATGTCTAACATCAGTCGATCCATGATCTTGCGCAACCCTTCATCCATTATCCGAGATGGATAACTGTCTCACTCGACACGGACCAAACTCCATTGGTCAATGCTTCTCACTAGAACTTCAGGAAATCGATCTTAAAGCTAGTCACTAGTGAGCTCATGATTATTATCAGAATACGAATCTGTTGAAATCGTAGTAATTTTGAAAATCGACTCATGAATTCAACTGTTAAAATCACTACGATCACAAATCCTCATTCTGAGAATACTCTTTATTAGATATCATATGGTTGTTTCTAGTAGTCGATGGTGGGTGTGTACACATTTGCCGGTACTATTTCTTTATATTTATTATTAAAAATCCAGCAAATTCTGCTTCGCTCCGAACTCGTTGAAAGCTAGCTTTACTAGTTTTTCATGCATAATTTATTTACTGTTGTTTCGTTTTGCTGTCTCTTATCAGTATATAAACAATACGAACGATAAACTGCAATTGTTTTTTGTTCATTAAAGATCACCAGTACATTCCCATTTTGTTCCAGCTTACCGACGTCACTGTAGTTACATACACCCTTATATATACTATTTTAATGATTCCCATTCATAGGCTGCTTCAAAATATTAAGTACTATTGTTGAATTGCGTAAAACATTATTATCACATTTCCCCCTAAGTTTTTATGTTAATTTACTGATAATACCCATTTTCCTCTTAAAAATCAATCTTAAGTTTCTGTTTTCTAAAAACACTATGAATTTCCTTTAGTCGACAGCCTGTGTTTGTTCATCATGTGATGCAAATATCACTTCAAACCAATATATTATATGCCTTGCTCAAGAAGGAAGTTCACAGACGTATATTAATCCGTCTGGCATTTTACACGATATTGTAACTGTGAGTCAAGTCACACCAAATTCTGTTAATCTTATCGGTGAGGCCTCAGCTGAATATTCCTGGTTCCCTGGGTATGTTAATAAGCTGTTTTTCTGAATATATCTACCAAATATTTTATAATGTAAAGATGCAATAAGTCTTGTATTACCGAAAATTTGATTACTGTGATTCTTTCGGGACGTTTTAAAAAGGATTACCCCCAAAAATGTAGACGTTGTACAACACTTTCACCATTGGGATTTTTCAACCATTCTGTTTTGACTTATGGTTTGTCTTTTTCAATCGGAACGCCTACAATCTTCTAATATAATGGAGATAGATCTTCCTCAAACCTTTACCAGGCCCCTTATGCGTACTTCAATATATTAAATTATTAATTGTTTCCAATGTTCTAGCATTATGAGTTAGTACAGACGTTGTGTGCTGTCACTCTATCTAAGTTTGTTTTTCATTAGTCTTTAGAAGTGGTAATTAGTCTCCCATGAAAACCACTTATTATAGACAATTTAACAACTCAAACAAACAAATAATTCATCCCAAACTCATCTCTTCAAACATTTAGGCCGTATCAAGATTTGTAGAACAAATTAACAACTCATTATATGTGAAAATGATATTTGAAATAATCTCAGAGATTGCAATTTAAATATCATTTTCACATATGATGACTTCTATATACTCGGTGCCCAATTTCTGTAAAACTATTCGTTCTAATCTTGACGAATATTCGTATAAATCAACAAATATTTTGGAGTTTTGTTACTTAAATGACCCGGCAAAATCAATTGAAAGACAAACATCATAAATTATTTCGAAATACGTGCATTCTGTGCAGATTGCCTCTATATTGCCACTGAGTCACAAGCACTATAAGAAAAAGCGGACAAGCCAGTGACTATCTGAACTCAGTAGCTTGGTGGATAACGCGATATCGGACGGTACTGGGTTCGACTACTGGATTGAACATCAGTCCTGGGATGCAGGTACATCCGACTGACGAGTTCCGAACAGGTCAAAAGGCGCATCTCGGATTCCACTCCTAGCTACCATCCACCTGTGTTCACTGTAAAGAGAGCCTTCTCGATTCATAAATGTTCATGTCTTTCGCCCATAGTGTATAATGTACATACTGGTTAAATAGACCATACCAAAGATATCAAAATTATGAATTAATTTATTTTGTGATTTGGCTCCATTAAATGAACCATTGGCACGAATGTGCATAATCATCAAAATAAAACGAATTGTTGATTCATTTCATTGGTTCTTATTATTGTGAGAGATTATCTCATTTTCTCATTGTTGTAGTTAGTATTTTTAAACAGAATAACTCTTCCATGTAAGCTTTTGCGTTGCAAAACATTATGTGTATAAAATATTATTACTCGAAAAATAATTCAAGATTCGATAGGTCAAATAACAGATATTCTATTCTATAGAATTGTAGATGACCATGTACTACATACTGTGTCACATGAGCAGTAGTAAACTATTAAGGACAGTCGCCATTACTGGGTAGTCAGATCAAAAGATTTCGTATATTAGACTTTAGTTCCCCTCTCTCTATTCGTGGTCAGCATACTGGTGAAGATTTGTGTTGGTTTTGATAATCATAATCTGTCTAACCAAAATTCTGTACATAATTTTTTCTAACAACGCCTTTTAATTTCTTATCCACCTTTTGTAACTACGTGCTCTTCAATACTTTCACTATTTTAGTTATTCTTGGACAATAGCCAATTGTAATAGCTGTTACCAGCATATGGGTTGGTTATTCAAAGCGTTAAATGATCAGTTACGTCCACGAAAATTTTGGGGTATCCGACGTCAGACAGTTGTACCCGGTTTAATAAGTGCATCAGATTGGCGTCCTTGTATTTAATTTGTTAAGGAAAAGTATCTTGATTTTTATCTTTCTTTAACAAAATTGTTATCAACAGATATTGTCTTGTTCATTTCCTTTGTCATTAAAGTTTTATATGTGAAATTTGAGTCATATATATCGACAACACATTTTAACTGTTGCGAGTTGTTTATACGCATAAGTTCATAATTTGTCATTATTTTCCTCTAAGGTTATCCCTCGTGTTTATTATAATTTAGAGCTGTAATATAAACAAAACTATATTTTTAAAATAAACTGTTCACCTCGGCTTTAGCTTCTAAGGATTTTGTTTCGAAAATACTGTTCACATTTCGATTGTACTGCTTTTCTTCCTAAATGTGATTTTCATTTATCAACTCTCGCTCAGTTCAAGTCTGTTTTTTCTGTCGGTCCACAGGTTTTTTGTTGCTTTTTCATTAATTTTAAAATAAAATTGAACAATTTGAGATCCAATTAATTCGTTCATGTTGAATGCATGGGTACTCATATGATGCTTTTGTTGAACATTTTATTGCTTGTTTATCTATTATTTCTTTCACACTAAGCAGAAAACTTCATTGGTTTTATGATGACGCTCTCACTTACCTACTCATTTAAATAACTTATTTTTCATGTAATCAATCTGTGTACATTTGGCATTCATTTTTTATCTTATATTATGGAGTGAATGACTTCTATAAATTGATTTATAAAATTTAGGGAGATTGTTACTTTAGCTAACTTTATATGTCAGCATTTTTCATGCTAAAGCAATGTTATCAGTATTGCTGATATTGATTTCATTGTTTACAACATGTTTATATTGTTAATTTTAGGAAACCAATCAGTGTTCCCTCATTGCTTCTTTATTCTACCATTTACCAGGGCCATAGTTTTATAGTCTAATGATTTAATATAGGTGCAGGTTTGCCTTTGGCTGTCGTCAGTATGAACTGACGATTACTTACTTTTTATTGGGAGCTGATTAGATAAATAACTACATGTAACACTTGATTATTATTCACCATGAAACGCTCATAGAATTTGACATCCACACATTTATTCTCTCCCTATAGGTACGTAAATGATAGGACAAGTTATTTAATTCTCTTACTGTTATAACAGTACACCTCATACGTTTATGGTGTTAGATCTGTTAGACTTGTGGTGTTATGTCAGAAAGTCATATTTTTGATGACACTAGTTACAACTTAGCTGCTATCGATAAATTTGAGATTTCACTTAACACGGAGGAGGATAATCATACAGTCCTTAATTTTATATATACGATCTACAGATACTAGTTACTAAAATTTCTTACATTGTATGATGTTTTAATTATCATTAGTTTTTTTTTTTTTGGACTGGAGAAGACAGCTTATCCTGGATAAGCAGCTCATTAGGTTATTTGATATTGACTTAATGTTAGTCTTCAGACAGTTTTGAATCTGTTGCAATAAACTTGTCCTGTGTAGTACCTACCAATTACCGAGACGTTCTACTTCAAAAGTTCTCACTTTTTCTCAGTGTGATTGAACTACGACGATTATACATATAAATAGATCAAATGCCAAATGATTATCTCTGAGGATCTACGTTTCATTTAATTCAATACGTTGAATTATTGAGCCAGGCACTAAAGTATGTCCTACGTGCATAAGTCGTGTTGAGTAGACAGCAAGGAGTGAGAGCAAAGTAAAAAAACAAACGAGAGTAGCACGTAGTGGAAGAAACAATTCAATATTCTCTATGAATATAAACCCGAACAATCGTTATTCAAACAGTAAAGTTAGGATTTAATGTAATGCGTGAAGTTATTTCGCTTTCGATAGCTGAGTGTAGAACATACAATGTGCCATCAGAGGAAACGGACTCTACATACACAATATTTGATGCGGCGACCTCCGGTATTTTTCTGGTAACGCATCTACAACTTTCATTTCTTCATACAAATAATTTGTTAGGTCTTCACACTCCTATGATATACGCATGAAACTGGTATTATCTATTCTAATTTATCATGTCTTGATTGCAATTTCTCAAAATTATAAATGCCACAGGGTGGGGTTTTGTTTGAATAATATGCAACCGACGACAGCCTGACAAAATCGAACAGATTCACGTTAACTAGATTTTCTCTGGTCACTAACTAAATATGTGTTATTCCGACAACTCACATATCGTGTCTTAAGCTTGCATGTAATGCTTACACACCGTGAATCACCAAAATATACTACTGATTATTTCATTAAATCAAAACATTCAAAGTGCACAAACTACATGCTAGTTAGGGATCAGTTTCTATAAAACTGACGGCGGGAGTACCAAAACCGCTGAGAGGATGTTGGTTGTGCAAGTCTCCTTAGCAGTGCGTATGGTACGGGGTCACAGCTCTGAACTGTCGCGAATATATATTTAAACCATTGAGTCAGAATACAGTTGTCAACATTGCTCATTGTACGTACACCAATATCAACGGACTATGATACAGCATAAGTTAGTGACATCATCTATCCTTAACGACAATTAATTTATGAGAGCAAGAAATACTAATTGTCTGAAACTCAACGATCTAGTCCTACTGATTAGTGGCCAAATGATTCAGCGCTCGATAGCTAACACAGGTCACCACCTATAACTGTACCGCGTAACTCGATACGATAAACGATGTGTTCACACGCGATTTTGTGTTGTTAGTAATTTGGAAAAGTAGTAAACGGGTTTTACAATGAAAAAGTCTATTCTCATAACGTCGAGTCAACATATATAATTGCGAAATCAATCCAGGAGAAGTTAGTCTATGTTGTAGTATCTGACAACAATTCGAAATTGTTCCCAAAAAGATAAATTTATACATCTGGCACGAGAACTCTGCCTTTAATTATTTTTTGTAACTACCTACTTTACGATGATAAGACACAATATCATCGAATTACAAAAGTTTACAAGGAAAAGTAAGTAATATGGGGAATCTTTTGTGAAATTTTACGAAGAGAAAAAAGCAGTTACATAACAATCTCACAAAAAGAAAAATCAAATCATTTACTCATTAAAAGAACATTATTTTTTGCATCCGTTGATAGTGTTTAAACGTAGTTAAATGCTTTCCATTATCATGAAAAATTATAATACTGCCGAAAAGGCAGCTAAACATTAAAAATAAACGAATGAACAACACATCATAACAAATAAATCGACAGGATTCAACTATGTACAATAAGATAATGAGTATAGATTATTGTAGGACACCAAAAAAAATTACACTGAACTTTAGTTATTATTAGTTTATTACTTGGCGACTTTTAAAACAACTACTGAACACTACAAAAATCTCCCTGAATGTCAATCGAAATGGAAAATATACAAAAGTAACATTAGTCATAAGCATACAACAAAGAACATAATTATAAATAAATTTAAACTTAAAAAATATCCGGAGAAACACAAGGTTTGTTTTCAATAATTTGCTTATCAAATTGAGGAGAAACATGTGGTAAAGTACGAACTGGTAGACATTCATCAGCCTCATCTTCTACTTCTTCATCATTTTCGTAATTATTTCCATTTACATGATTTTTAGATGTATCAAATGAGTTTACCATAATATTGTCTGTAGATTCAACTTTACAGCCACCTGCTTCTACAGAAACCGATTTCGCATTATCTTTGAAAAGTGAATTATCGATATCACTTGTTTCGGAGATGATTAATTCTGAAGTCGAATGTTGGTGATTTGATTCATCTGATTGTGATTCAATAATACCTTTTGATTTTATACAGATATTTGTTGGTGGAATTTTTCCGTCCGTCGTTAAAGAATCACTATCACCCTGACTGTCCCCTTCTTGATCATCATCATCATCTTCACACGGTTGATAATCACTATCAGAAGAATACTTTAAAACTGTGCGGTTAGACTGGGAGCGTTTTACTTTTAGACTGGCAGATATTGGAGTAGGAGACCGATCAGCATCCTCTTCTTTTTCTTCCTCTTCATCATCTAACACTCTACGAACTTTACTTTTACTCGTAACAGGAATTTCCGAAAGATTGTGTTCAGAATTATCTGTTGTTTCATCGTTTGATTCACGGTAACTAACAACAGTTCGGGTACACCTATAAATAAAAAATAATAAAGTTTCATCCTGTACACTATACCAAACAGGTAATTGATGAGTACACATTATCAACCAGAAAATATTAGAAAACTAGTTAACAACCATAAAAACACACAAGTTTGTAAAATTATTAAGACCAGTATTAATTTAATACTCACAACGTACTTAAAACGTCGATTGGTTTCAAAACTTCATTAAAAGGTAGCATATCTGGGCTGCTGAAACTCATTAAGAATGAATGAAAGTTAGCGTGCCCAACTATGGAAACTTTTATTGTGAAATCAAGTGTCAGAGTGATAAATGTTGAGGTACACATTGGTTTAATCTACATATACACTAATATCTAACAACAAGGGTTACCAGACATTGTTGATTGTAATTAAAAAAAACAACAAAAAACAGATTAAAATTAAAACTAAGCGGTTCATTAGTGAAAAATAGTTTGCTTGCTGACTTCTCGATCATACAATCTAATTCTTTCTCATGAATCAACATTACTAAAAGCAGATCTAGAATTTCGGCGTAAACAAGGGGCGAAAAAATTCTACATATGTTTATAACGCTAATGTATTGAGTATCCAACCATGAACTGGAGGGAAGGAAAATAATCATCATAATTGTGAAACCCGGCAGCCAGTTGCAAAACTTTAAAACAAGGCACAAATGTGTATTCGTTAAGGTTACAAAAAAGGACAAAGACAATGTGACTCCCCACGAATGTTCAATCGCGTAAGAGAACAAGAATGATAGTTGAAATGCTAACAGATATGGATAATTACAAATCATCTTAATTTTTATAACCTGAAGTAACAAGCAAATTTTGCTATTATTAACTAAAAAGCAATATAGAAAGCAAAGGCCCATTCTATAAGGATGTTTTTTTTCCATGACTTTTAAGATAATATTTGTTCACAGGATAAAAACGATAAGGACGGGCCAAAAATCTACGAAGCGATGATACAACAGAGTCAGCAAAGGTTCTGATAGGCGGATCACAGTCTGGATTTGCAAAAGCATTTTCAAATATAAATCTGCGGTTTGCCATCATTTGATAGACTTGACGGTATCTTAATGCGATCAGCCTACAAAAGTCACATATCAAACAAACTCGTAATGCTCATTGACAAAACAAAAAAGGAATTCTGGGTGCTTAAACTGTTATAATTTAAATGTGATGAATGTTCAGTCCGTAAAGAAGGGGGGAAGTGAATTCAAATATTAATTCCTATTTAAAATCTGGGGGTATACCAGGAATATCTTAGATTTTATGTTAATAGTGTGATTTTAATCTAACTAAAATATGATTTCAACGAAAACTGAAAAAATAAAGAAAATCAGAAGCACCACTGTTTTACCAATCTCGCAACAGAAAAATTCTACATTATGTCGTTATTTATTTATTTGAACACAGAGATATTGATACAAGGGGGCACCACATAAATATGCGCCACACAAATCTCATGTGAATTGTGTGAGTACTGAGATACTGCCTGGGTACTCAAACCGAAGCAGGTGGTTTTCTTAGGGAGCCACATCTGAAGCATTTGACCTGAAGGTCTGATTCACAAGGTAGTGAGGCAACGTAAGGTGATGCAGTCCTATGGTAACCAGTGACCAACAATAGGTCCAAACGCCATTTCCTAGAGCCCATATGCATGATTGGTTTGAAATCAGGGTTTTCCAACTCCTCTAGGTGGACTCTCCGTGTCCACCAACCCAGTTAGAGCACCGGACATTTTCTTTTCGTACTCTCAATTTCGGAAACAACTGTAATGCCGTGAGAAGCCAGTGAGTAGGACTTGCCTGGCAGTGGTTGTATGCACATGGCCATGTGAGGGCATTTAGAGACGGAGAGCCGACTCTCCCCACGCTCCGCCGTACCAGGGCATTTGGGGATTAGTGATACTATGGAGCGAGAAGTAAGCTTTCCAGTTAGGTCTTAATCTCACTAACCAACGAAATCTGTACTTTCCAATCATTTACCTTTCAACTGGCGCCTAACAAGATCACATTAGCACAGAGATGCAATGGTCGACTCAAATCCCGTAGTGGTAGAGGTAATAAGAGTATAAGCAGTAATCGGGAAAATTAGTGTTTGGAGATGTTATTTAAAGAGTATAATACAGTGAAATAAATTTGGGAAGAGAAAAAAGGAGACAAGGAGGAATAAGGAGATCAAAATTTGGGAGAACACAAAGAGTGGATGCACCTGCGCCATCTCAAACGATTTTGAGCCATGTCATTCAGGGTCTCTAACCATAGGTTGCTATCATCTCGCGGTCCCCAACCAGGTAGTATACACCTGCCAACATGACTCAGTTCACTTGTCAGTGACTTCATGGCTTGTGCCATGTTTTGGTCTGGCCGCCTCTAGCTTTCTTCCAACCTACTCCTATACCACTGAACATAGCACGTCGAGGCAGTCGGTGGTTGGGCATACGTAACACATGTCCAAGCCATCTCAACTGATGAAGTTTCACTACGTCATCAATGGATTTGCCATCCTTACCTAGTACCCGTTTCCTAACAACTGCATAACTTACTCGATGGTCCCAGGATATACGAGCAATATTTCGAAGACACCTATGATCGAATACTAGTAACCTACGAATATCCTCCACTCTTACCGGCCATGTTTCACTGCCATAAAGGAGGACGGAACGAACTGCTGCGCAGTAAACGCGTCCTTTGGTTGATAGACGGATATCTCGCCTACGCCATAAATGACACAAGTTGGCTAAAGGTAGTTGAGCTTTCTGTATCCGTGCTGAGACTTCGTCACACACCAGACCACAAGGGGTGATGAGACTTCCAAGATAAGTGAAGCGATCGACAAGCTCAATTACTTCACTCCCTATCATTAGTTCGGGTGTCAATGCAACCCAATCCTCAAGCAAGATTTCGCATCTCGAGGGGGATAATCGCATCCCGAATATGCTTGCATTGTTGCTTAGAGTGGTCAGAAGACTCTGCATTTTGTCAGCGTCTTCACCAAATAAAACTATGTCATCAGCATATTCTAAATCGAAAAGTGAACCTCCCGGTAGAACTTCAACCCCTGGAAATCTAGACGAGGAAAGTGTTATCTCTAAAAGTACGTCGAGGACAAAGTTGAACAAGAATGGAAAGAGTGGACAGCCCTGACGAACACCACTTGAGCTAATCAATTCTGATGACAGTTCGCCATAAGCTCTCACTCTACCAGTTGTGTTCGAGTAGAGCCATCATAAATTTAATGTACTTCTTTGGTACACCTTTCAGTGACAAACACTGCCATAGAACCTTACGATCGACAGAGTCGAATGCCGCCTTAAGGTCGAGAAATTTTACGATTGTGGGGCGTCTGAACGTGTGTCTGCGTTCTAGAACCTGACGTAGTGTGAATATGTGGTCTATACAACCACGTCCAGGCCGAAAACCAGCCTGGTTTTCTCTAGTCTGCTCTTCACGAGCTTTAGTTAGGCGTCGAAGTATTATTGAAGCTAATATTTTAGACACTATATTTGTCAAACTGATTCCTCTGTGATTGTCACAAGAGGACTTTTGTCCTTTCTTATAGACTGGCACAATCAGTGATTGAGACCAGTCAGATGGGATTACGTCCAGTTCCCAAATTCTACCTAAGACCTCAGTTAATCTCACTGCTAATACTAAACCACCATCCTTAAAAATCTCAGGAGTAAACCTGTCAGGGCCTGCTGCTCTCCCTCGCTTCACATTTCCTATGGCTTTTTCAACTTCGTAAAGAGTCGGAGGACCTACACTAACTTGCCATTCAGGTTGACTGGAGATCGTGGGAAACTAAAGTGTGGCTGAAGGCCAGTTGAACTGATCTCTAAAGTGTTCTGCCCATCGATCCAATCTCCTGGATTGAGAATGTATAATATGTCCATCTTTCTCTGAGTGTTTCGCTAACAGTCGGTTTCCTTAACAAGTCTGAACAATTGTCTGCTATTACCTATTGCCGCTGCCTTTTCCATCTCTCTTGCTTTCGCTACCCACCACTGTTCACGATCATTGCGTAGACTTCTTGTCAGCTTGCGCTTAAGCTGACTCCGCTCTTCATCATGTTCAGAGCCAGGTGGAATGAGTTTCCGAGCATCTATCAGTGCGATAGATGCTGCTGAGATCCAGTGTTGCTTCCTAACCTTACGGGTTACCGTACTAGCAGATATCACTGCTGTTTCCACAGCTTTTCGGATATCATTACATGCTACCTCGGGGTGGGCATCACATACATGGCTGCCTAGCTGCTTTCCTAGTTGTTCCTGAAATATACTCTTAGGCTGACTATCATTAAGTAGGGCCCTAAGAGGTTTACTTGCATCGTCTTTCCTACCTCCAGTAAGACGCAAGCAAATACGCGCTCGCACTAGAGCATGATCTGAATCTAGGCATGTGCTCCAGAATGAGCGACAGTCTTCTATCGAGCCCCTCCATCGGTGGCTGATAGCGATGTGATCTATTTGGGTCCAACGTTGGGACGAATTAGGGGGTCTCCATGTTAAAAGATGTTTTTCCTTATGCTTAAAGTTAGTATTTGCAAGGAACAGGCGGTTATCTGAACATAGCTGCAACAGACGGTCGCCATTATCTGTTCTTTGAGCCACGACACCATAAGATCCACCCATGTGTCTTTCTCTATCGCTTAGTTTACCTACCTGAGCATTAAAGTCGCCGGCCATTATTAATACTACATCCGAGCGCCTAGCTTTTCGGAGAAGGTTGGAGAGCTTTCTGTAAAACTCATCTTTTACATCATCTGCGCTGCAGTCTGTGGGAGAATAGGCAGAGACGACGAAGAGGCAACGACGAGTGTCCCTATGTTTTCGGATCCTTACTGTTCCGTTCAGTCGGGCAGCGCACAAACGACTGTCTACTGGGATCCACTCTAAGAGAACTAGTTCTGCCCTAGGACTTAATGCTATACATACGCTAGCGAGGCCACGGGAAGCAGAATCTGGGCTTCCAGATACACGAAGTGTGAATCGAGTCGGTTCTTTATTTTGGCATGGTGAGGTCAAATGAATAACGCTACTCGGATCCTGTGTGCGCGTTTCGGAGACGCAGCACACATCGATGGCGCGGGATTGTAAAGTCGTAGCTAAGGAATCCTGCTGTTCTATTTGGCACAGTGTTCGGACGTTAAAAGCTCCTACGTGTAGTTTAGAGTGTGGTTTCAGGAGACCAGGAATGGCGTTCCACGTACTCGAATCGTTTGCCGTAGCGGTGCGAGGTGATAAAGAGACGTCAGAAGGGTTAGTCATGGAGATAAGAGAGGTATTAGGAAGTGTAGGAGGGATTTGAATGTGACTAACTTGGTATCGTGTGCTGTTACGGGTATGAGGGCTGATATCACTTCCCGGCTGCCCACACCGTGGAAGGGTATTTCTTGAGGAACTTGAAAAGGAAATTGGATTAGTGTTGGTCTTAAAGACCTGGCAGCGTGACCGCAGAGTCCAAGGGACAACTGCTTGAGGCCGGTCGCGCACGGCCTTTTCGTGGAAGGCTTTTAATGTGTTAGCTCCGTTCTTCAAGGGGCCTTACCGCCGGAGACGGAAATCCGTGAGGCAAGGTGAGGTGTGATATCTTTAGGGTCGAACTTTTCTAACCCCACCCCTCCTTGTGGGAAGGCAGCATCGCTGCAGATGCTGGTTGTCCGAGGGAAACACCTTACTGCTGTCACACCCCTCTACAGCCAGCAGTACGACTTTGCCCTCAGACCTTGAGTTACTGCTCTTAATCCTACCGTTCTCCAATCGACCTGCCTGGCATGGTAGAACCTACAGGAACATATGTTCTAGCCAATATAGCTCGGTTGGGTCATCACGATAGACAAGCCCGACCACCGCGTCAAGACACTAAAACATCCGTTTTCTGGCTATTGGTTTTGTCTTTTGACGCTAATTTCGGGACGTTCAGGTTTGTCAATAAGTCCCATCAGCAGTTATCACTCGCTTACATCGTACCACCACATATCGTCGGTCAATGTGTATTGTATACATTCCTAATCTAACGATTCCAAACTCGTTCATCATCATTAGCATAAACTTTTAATCCAGAAAAAAAAAACAAGGAAGCTTTGATTTGGAAATCCAAGATTTAAATGTCAACAAATAATAACACAAGTTCGAAGCGTTTATAACTTCCCACTTTATTCTTGAAAACGAGAAAAACCCATCATCAGATACTGTAGCGGGGGTTTATTTGAGTAAATATTGGAAAATATTAAATGACCAATTAACTGGAACAACTGCTTATAGTTAGCAATGAAATGGTGTGTAGTTTACCTACCCGTCAATCGTGTTTATAGTGACAATCTACTAATAGAATATACCTTGATATGCAATAGTACAGTATGGCATACAGTATAAATATACTAGTGAGTGGATGTTATTGAACTTTGTCGCAGCTGAAAGTTGTGATTCTGAATTAGACAGTTGGATGCCAACTACTGAATTCCGGGTTAAAACCAACTATTTAATCTAGTTTGAGTATCTGGGTGTTGTTATTAATCATAAACAATATGTATAACTAGTAGTACAACACACAAAACTATATTCAGCCATCACGTTATATACTTCCCCAAGGTCAGCAAGCAGACACAACTTTGTGTGCTAAGCTCTGAGCAGAAGCTATTAAGTGGATGATAGTGATAATTCACTTTTAACAAAAAAGGAATGAATGTATGGGATTCACTGCTGTGATTTATTGACTGATAGTTTTCTTTTTAAACTAGTAAGAAACATTTTAAAAATTTGAATGTCGAACTTAGTAAATAGCTCACCTTCTAGTCCGTAATACTGCACGATCAGATCCTTCATCACTGTCTTCAAAACAAGGGACGGGTTTTCGAGACCGGTAAGAATAGTTGGATGATCTTTTCTTTTTTCGAGTATTTCCACGTGACGAACGAGAATTGTGTCGTGCAGTTGAAAGCCAACTATTATCACTTGACAATTGTTCAAACTCATCACTTGAAATATGCTTCCGAGAGTCGACATCATCTTCACTTTCTGACACTTCAGAAGATGATGGTTTAAAATCTTCATCTCTCGTTCGACAACTCCGTCTTGCTTTACCATCTACTGAATCTTCATTCGAATGTTCACTAGAAGAACTAGAAGACAGATCAGCAATGCGACGCTTTTTACGAGATCGCATACTGTTATCTTCTTCGAATTCTTTCCAATCCGGCCCCAAGATATTCGAAAGGTCTTTTCCACGTGAACATTTAGGCGTATGACCGTTGAGCTCACATTCTTCGTCGATAACATTTTCACCATCAGTTTGGTTGTAATGTTCACTAGTCTTTCGTTTTAGTTTGCGCTGCTTTTCTTCTTGATATTTTTCGTCAGCTTCTAGTGCTTCATCTAGCTCTTTGAATGCCTCGCTCACTTTATACCTAACTTGGCGTTGACGAGTATTTCTACAAGGAAGTGGTTCATAATCAGACTCGACTGACTCTGATTCTTCAGACGTTTCTTCTCGGAAGTTTACACGGCGTGGTCTGGAAAACTGAGTCTTTGCTTTTGGCCGAACTTGACGACGACGCCTAGTTGGATTCCCTTGAGACCTGCCGTCAACACCAGAGTCAGTGTTGGAGTTAGTATTTTTAGTATCCGAATGGGATACAGAAGCAATATCTTCGTTTTCTTGATCACTATACGAGTCGTCACAAGCATACTTAACATTGTTCTTTTGAGTATTACGCAGCACTTTTCCTTTCTTGTTTTTACGCTCATGGAAATCACTATCATCATCTCCTAAAATGTTCGTCATACTGATATTGACAAAATTCAAACGCTCTTGCATACGCTTCCAAATATTTCGCTTCTTCGATTCAGCCTCAAGAACAGTAATGGTTTCGTTTAAAGCTGATATCAGAGTAGCGTGTTGACAACGAGGGCAAAACCAATCGCCTTCCGGAATAATATGTAAAGGAGGTGAGAGACACATAGCATGATGTCCCAAATCGCATCTGTCGCATAACAACATCCAATCGGGTAAATGTGACTTAAAGCAAACCTGACACGGTTCTTCCTTTTCGTCTGCATTACAATTAGTATTTGGATCTGATTCAAACTTCTTTTGTAAACGTTTTTGCCTGGCCAAGTTCCGTCCATCGGTTACACTATCAGCATCACTTTGAATATCCAAACCATTCGGGTCGAAATCACTTTCAGGCGCATCTGACCATTCAGGATTTACGTTTTTGCCTGGCTTTTTTGGTGAATGAAGATTTGATTCATCGCTATCTACATTTAAATGTTGCATAAGTGCATTTTCAAATGAGTCATCTTCACCATCTGAGTCACTAGAAGATGTTCCATAAATCCAAGGATTTGAACCCTTTCGAGGTTTTTTACGATGACGTTTCTTTTTTCGTTTTTGGTTTTTATTTACTACATGGCCATTTGAAGTGAGGTGTATTTTTACGACAGGTATTTTCTGCTTTTTAGGTTTTTCGTTTTCGTTATTGACCTTGTGTAATGAGTTTGAAACTGGAGTTGGTAATTTTGGACGTTTAGATTGAGATGGTTGGATATTAAATACCTGAACAGGCTTACGTTGCCTACTACTGCGTCGTAAATCCTGTTCATTAACAACAATTTCTGAGCTCTTGGTGGAGCTGTTTTTTCGAAACTTCTTTGACAAAACAGTAGTACATGGTTCCACAGCTGATGACTCGGAATCTTGGTTTGTATGTTCATTGCAATCATCTTCTGGTCTTAGGACTTGTTCAGTGGTACATTCTTGCTTGATGTGATATTCTGTGCTAAAAGAATTTAAAGGAAATTGTATGTTTATTACCTTTAATACTGATTAGTAAAAAATATGTAGTTTGAAAAGCAAACAATACTTGGATATTTGATCTGCAGTAACATAATTGTTCAATAACCTGTAACGATTGTTAACCAGTTTTACTTCGTATTTAGTGATGGCTTAAATTCATGGAGGACTTTTGTCATACAAGAGAAGTTGGAAATCAACTGTTTGTTGGAGACATCAGTTGATATAGACGACTGATATTGTCACACATACAACAAAGATGCTGGCTAATATATTCTGAAGACAAATCATGACAGATTTACGAATGATCAAGCAAGATTATAGTTTATCTGCAAAAAGTAGGCAAGTTGTTTTTACATTGTAAACTAAGCTTATGCAGTAAAGTAAAGCGTATTCTGATACGTTATATGGTTGTAAGATAGTGTTCAACTACAACGCCATTTGAGTATATAAGGGAAAGAACGCAATAAATTTCGAATTCTGGATGCTATTTCACCTTCACTTCAATTGCAAGAGAGGTTAACGACTGATAGGTAAATATCAAACACAGACCGCTGTTTTTTTGTCTCTGTGTATTGTATACGCGCTACTTTGGACAAGCAAAATGAGTACGAACAAACATTAGTCTAAGATTTGGACAACTATACAGTAAAAAATGTTTGTTGATAGGTAAACAGACGTACTTTGTATCAAGACATTTTTGTTCCACCTCAAATTCGTGAACATTATGATTCTGATCATCGGTTTTCCCTCTGTCACTAGAAACCACTTCTTCACTTAACCCACTATTTTCTTGACTTTCTGTTTTGACTGAATGCTCAATCTTTGAAATTGCTAATAACATGTCGACTGAATGAATATTTGGTTTTTGATCACAAGTAGGAGTTGGTGGTGGTGTAATTGAAGGTTTTAAGAAATCGTTTGGCTGCGATAGCGGTGAAACAACAGAATCCTCGTCATTTTTTGAAATTTCCAGTTCTGGAGAGGCTACATTATCCTGTATCAAGTTTGTCCATTGATATTTCAGATTTGATCTGTCTGAGGCTTGCTTTTTCTTAAAAATACTCTCGAGCTTTTCATCTTCCGAAAAGGCTTCTTTCAATTCCTCGATGAGACCACGAACGTCGTCAAAAGATTCACACAATAACTTAGTGGAAAAAAACACAGAATGAGCAAATTAGGAGTGCTGAACTAATACTCTTGGATGAAATTAAAACCATAGTTCCTAATATGCCCACCCATTAGTAGGAGTGACTTTAGCTCTAAGATAATAAAAACAATAAGTAATAAGGCTAGTAAAATATGAATTCTGTTCAAACAGACAAAGTCCTTTCAGTTTTTTTATTCGTTCTTGTTCTCTTTTAAATATACTTATACATCTCTTATTTAGTTCATTCAGTGTTGTTGAGAATTTACAGAAATCGAACTAAAATACTCTCTAGAGTATTCACTTAATGTAGATAGGCTGTTTAATAAATAAAAGTGACTCACTGGAAATGTTTACATAATTTGCTTGCGGTCATACTATTCATGTTAGCTGTAATACCGCGCGGTTGCCTCGACTAAGGTAGATGAAATGGGATTCCAACCTTTAATACAATGGTTGAAAGCTCAGTACTTTACAAACTAACCTAACACTTCTTGGTCAAGAGACAAAACATAGCACAAGAAAGAGGGTGGGGGGCGCTAGATGTATGCATTCCACCAACCCTATGTGATAAATAAGAGCAGCATTGTTTAATGTTTCACAACAAATCAACCCAGTTCAACTGGTAAATTCCAGAGGAAAAGTGACAATCAAGCACTAATTAAATATTGCGTAAAAAATTATTCCAATCAAAATGAAGAATTGATCTTAAAAGACTTACACCAAACCTGTAGTAAAAGCGCATTGATCTGCTGAGTTTTAGAAACAAGTTGAAAGCTATTTATTGAATATATAATACATAAAATAACAGGATTCTCGCAGTAATTTACCATCACAATGTTAATTTACTTGAATTATTCTTTTATAAGGTATTAATAAAAAAGGACTCAGTAACTGTGTACAGATTTACGTTCCCGGCTTCCAGCCATTTTCAGCGAGAGTTATCAATACTAATTTTTGTTCAGACCAAGGTACATACGAAGCGGTATCAAAACTTGAAACTCAAATTTTGAAAATTAAATCATTGAGTAAACAAAGCCCTACCGATAAGTATTACATGAATAAGATAGGAAACACACAAGTACTTACCTGGAAATTGTTTTCCTGGTGATCTTCCCTGTATAAGTAAATATTTATATCTGAATCCTTCAGAAGCCAATAACTTCTACCCCAAACATCAATCCCCAAGGGAGGAAATCGTAAATCGACAGGAGAGCGTAGATTTGCCTTATCCTTGAAAGGCTGATTCCGATCAAACTGAGTTTCCAAAAGACAGAGAAGAGTTTTAACACGAACGTTAGGAGAGAGCCTGTAGTAACTAGAGACATATTCAGGTGACTCTTGAATGAATACATTCAGCTTTTCATTATTTCCACATTCACTGTTTAAGAGAAGCTCAGCAGCTGTTTGAATTCCATCAATATGAAGACCATGACTAAGCAAGAAACGACCCAAAACTGGTTCCCAACGATCAGGACGAGCGCGGTATTTTAACTTATTGAGCAATTTGACGTGAAGAGTTTCCCATATTTTTGTTTTTGCTAATAAAAAAGAACTGCGAATGATTAGCGCATGACATGCATGTATATACACAAGAAAATTACACTTTCTGTAAACAAAGTAGGGATATTTATTTGTCTAAACATATAAACATTGGTACAATGAGGCACCAAATATACATGCACCACACGAATCACTCAATCCGTGTGGGGGCTGAGATACTGCCTGGGTACTCAAACCGAAGCAGGTGGTTTTCTTAGGGAGCCACATCTGAAGCATTTGACCTGAAGGTCTGATTCACAAGGTAGTGAGGCAACGTAAGGTGATGCAGTCCTATGGTAACCAGTGACCAACAATAGGTCCAAACGCCATTTCCTAGAGCCCATATGCATGATTGGTTTGAAATCAGGGTTTTCCAACTCCTCTAGGTGGACTCTCCGTGTCCACCAACCCAGTTAGAGCACCGGACATTTTCTTTTCGTACTCTCAATTTCGGAAACAACTGTAATGCCGTGAGAAGCCAGTGAGTAGGACTTGCCTGGCAGTGGTTGTACGCACATGGCCATATGAGGGCATTTCGAGAGGGAGCTGACTCGCCCTACCGTCAGCCGTGCCAGGGGATCTGGGGGCATCTAAAGGGTTCGAGGAAGAACCTATACTTCATTGTGATAATTTACGGACAGCTCTTATACTTGCAACTGATTTATGATGTGCTCGTGATACTTAATGAAGCATCTTCCTGTACTTCGTTGACGGATATTTCATTAATAGATATTTTTCGCGTTTGTTTACTTAAGTAGAGACCATAGCATCTTTTAAAGAACGTGCTTTGACCAAAAATGCTTTCTTTGGAAACCACATGTTTGTATGTTGTTAAAAAAGGAAAGTTACAATATTTTCAAGCTACGAACATAGGTGATATGAAGAAAGAATTATATATATATATACATATATATATATATATATATATATATATATATATATATATATAGTAGGCAAAGAATGGAAGATATATTAGGTGTACAACATGGCATACAGTTAGGTGTAAAACGGTAGTAACAGCTGTTGGCTGAGGAATATATACTGAAATGTTAACGAATAAGCAAAATACAATCGATAAGAATTTCAGGTCTCACTCCATCTATCACCTCTTATTGAATTTATATGACATCAGTACAAAACTTTGTCAGTTACCACTTTGCCCGAGTTAATCAGTACAGAGATGTGTAGTCAAAAAGTACCAGACTAATTACTCGGAAAGAGATAAAAGTTTATGATTAGGTGAATTTAAGAACTTCCCGCGTAGTGAACCCAGAAGCTTTCAAGACCCCGTTTCTTTTAGTATATAGAAAATAAAAATATCGTTCATGTACAAATGCCCTGGTACGGCCAAGAGTGGGGAGAGTCCGCTCTCCCTCTCGAAATGCTCTCACATGGCCACGCGTATATAGCTTCTGCCAGGGAAGTCCTACTCACTGCCTTCTCGTGGCGGGGGTGTTGTTTACAAAAATGAGAGGACGAAAAGCGAATGTCCGACGCTTTAACCGGATTCCAAACCAATGGTGCACATGGGCTCCAGTATCCTCAAGGAACAAATGGCGTATGAACCAATTGTTGGTCACCGGCTACCATGAGACTGCACCTCCTTACGATGCCCCACTGCCTTGTTGATCAGACCTTCAGGTCGAAGGCTCGGGGTGTGGCCCTCTAAGAAAACCACCTGCTTCGGTTTGGGCACCCGGGCAGTATCACAGCCTTCACACATCGAATGAGATTTGTGTGGCGCATATGTATTTGGTGCCTCCTTGTACCAATATCTATGTGTTAAAATAAATAAATAAATAAATCATGTACAGTCAGTTCATGACTACTCATTTGGGCCAGATATACCAACAATCGGCAGTAAGAGCATGTACACTTCTACTTACTTATGAAAACGAAGCCACTTGGTTTTAAACTATTACAGCTAATTGCTTTAGTAACTCAAGTGCTACGAACATCAGACAGTACAAAGTATGCATGGTGGCAAAACGAGTAGTGTAGCATTACATAGAGGAATATAGACCATAATACTATGCGGACTTTATTAAAAGTAATCTTTAAGACGATTGGAAAGTTATTGACTAAGTAGTAATGTTAACATATACAGTTCCCTTCATAATTATAACTAGTGTTTATAAACACTAGTGTTCCAAAATCTATTACGAAACAATAATTTAACAACTGCAGTAATGGTAAGATCAATAATGTATTGCTTACTGCTGCACTTCATACCTGAATTTTGAAGAGCGAGGAAATCATATAACTGTGGGAACGTAAGGTGAATACCAAGATCAGAACCAAAAAATGTCAGGAAAGAACAAAGTGCAGCAAAGTCAGGAAGGGACCGCAGATCTCCCGGATTCCTAAATTAAATATGGAAGGATCAACAAAACATGAACAACATACGGAGGAGTCTCCTTTTCACCATCGTATTTAGAAATATCTGCAATCATCCAACGCGACCTTGGACCACTACCATGTTAGGCGCTTAGATTTTCGTTCAATAGATTATATGTAAATGACAGTTTCATGTACATTGTTCTTTGCTGTTATCATACTTTTCTAAAACCAAGCTTTTTGTCAAATCTCAAGCGGATATTCTTGGCATGCATATAATTTTCTTCTTTTGGGTCTGATCTTGAGAAGCCTAATGTACGGGATGTTCAAATGGTTCAAATGATTGTGGACGGTATAGAAGAAGCTTTCGCTTAACAGGCTTCCGTGTCTAGTAGCAGAGGATCACCAAATCCTCCAGGCAGGAACCTAGGTATGTTAACAACAAAAGAGGAAAAGAAATTAGTAAATCACTGTGTGATACTATCCTTAGTCCTTAAGAATAGATCGAGTTGCCTCTTAAAGGACTCCTGAGAAGTCGCTTAGACTAGCTCGACCGGAAGCAAATTCCAGCATTTGACAACTCTTAAGGAGTAGAAGTCGTGTCTACATTCCGTCTTGCTATGTTGTATCTACAGTTTCTAGGTGTTACCCCTTAGGTTAGTGTTGAAACTAAGCTTAAGTAGGTGTTTAAGTGGATGTCCAGAAGTGTTAAGGATACTGTAAGCCATTAGAAGGTCACCTCTAAGACGTCTATGTTTCCGTACTCTAAATGTGGACGGATAAAACTATTGAAGATTATATGGAAAGTTCTTCCGTCAAACCGGTCAAAAATGCACTTCAATTATACCAGTGCAAGGTTTGCTCGGAAGGCATTTTTGTCACAGTTAGCGTAAGACTTTAAATCGTAGGGCACTGGGACTCCTAAATCTTTCTCGACTAGGGATACTACCAGAGAGGAGTTTCCTAAGTTGTAACTGCAGTCTGCAACATGTCACAAATGGACTACTTTACACTTTGAAGCATTAAAGCTAAGCCGGTTATCATCGAGTCAGACCCCCCTGAAGTGCCTGTATATCGTCTTGGTTGCGTATCTCTCTCTCCAAAGTTTCACGTCGTCGGCCAAAGGTAACAAGTCTGACGTTACCTGTTTGAGGATGATCATTTATGTATATCAAGAAGAGAACAGGTCCTAGTACTGAGCCCTAAGGGAACCCACTAGGACATTCCATAGCCTGAGATAAAGTGAAATTAACCGCGACCTTAAAATGTCGATTTTTCAGGTATGAAGTGAGCCAATCGATTAGAGGTGGTCTGATACCCAATCTTTTGAGCTTATTGATAAGACATGTATGGTTAACCCTCTCGCTATTTAATTAATCAGGTACTGGATTAGCAATGTATGGATATTTAAATATCATGGTAACATTTCATTATAATTCATCTATGGAATAAGATGAACTCAGTATATTCCTAAAAACCTCAGTCAGCTGTGAAAATTACCGACGTCAATCTAAAAACCAAGTGGCTTCGATATACTCCTAAACAGTGTCATATCTTTAATTAATGTTTTACTCGCTCCACTGAAAATCTGACGATTGTTTGCACGGAAAATAGGCGACACAAATCTAACACTGAAATCCATGCCAGTTTTCAGGAGGGAGAGGTCAAAGTATTAAGCTGTTTCTCCATATGTTTTCAGGCTCTGTCATCTGAAAGTTGAAATCTCACTGATGTCAGTCATGATAGTTAGTTTTTATAATGTTCTGGGTTGGTTTCGTCTAAGTCTCCTGTTGTTGATAAGAGTAATCGCATTTTGCCCTCGAATTAGTATTAAAATGTAATTCTCTTCGTCTGTTAAACCCAAGTTGAATAAAGGCTCTGGCCAGTTTTTCAAGTAACGAGATATTTTTCTCTGCTGTGCTTCGTGTGTTCACACTGTACAAAACTCTAGTACATCAAGTAATCTATTTTCCAAGTGATAGGTTATTTGCTGACAGGTTGACATGGATTGCAAGCCCCCACCCGTTGTTTCTAAGGTTTTTGTATGTGATCATGGTACTTGCTGGACTCGTTAGAAATAAGCAGTAGCGTCACGTTACTGAGTGAAACGTCAGTTCTTACAGTCGAAACGCTTGTTACAATGTTTTATATGACGAATTATTAGACCTTATATGTGTGGAGTGACAGTACTTTTAAATATACGATTTCTTAATTAATAAAATATGGGATCTAATCCTCGTGTAAAAATTTGTTGCTTTTAAGGTCTCTTGACAGGTCAGTGTTTAACTGCACCACTTCTAGTAACTAACCTTATCATCCATTTCCTACTAGAAACGTGACTTCATCGCTAATAGTCATCTAGTACTCAGAGTGGCGAAGAAATCGACGGATAACATGGTATTGTGATTTTACTGTTTCTAATTAAGGTAAACCTCAAGTATCACAAGATTTAATCATTCTTTTGAGCGAATACTAAAAAACTGGTCACGGAGTGGCATGTGAGTGATTTCCTACTGGAGTCAGAAAGATGAAATCCAGTTCAATGAATTTAGAATTTAATGAGACTTAAGAATGAACAGTGCATACAGAATCTCAGTTATTAAGTTCAAAACTGTTAACGAAATCACAATAAAAGTCGAGTTTACAACTGGAAGCCTGTAATGGCTATTATTGTCAATATATGCACACTATCACTGTCAAGGCTTGGTGTTTATCCGCACAAATTTTGCTGAGTGGTTTTCACTGAATTTTCGTACATTTTTTTCGATGATTTGTCTTAAATGACATATTCTCAATACGCAAGTTCTAACTACTTGAAATAGATTTTTTAATAGATGAGCAAGAATATTTATCACTGATTTTGCTGGACAGATTTAATAAGGCATCAACTACCAAACTAATGGTTTTGTTTTAATTAATAGGACAGGAAAAAAGAAAACGATTCATCGTAATAAGGTCGGAGAGGAAAATTACTGGCGAAGGACATAAACTTATAATAATGTAGGCAGTCATTTGAGATAAAATCATTCCTTTTTGAGACAGGATTAACCAATGTTGGCTTCATAGTTTTGATGATTAAACATCTGGTTCATTTAGCTGTGGTGTGGAGGAATCTGTATGCCAGACTCAGAGATAACGTGAACTCATGCACCTTATAGTGGATTTTTTGTTTGCGAAGCCTGGAAAATTGGGTAAAATACACGTTTTGCTCTACAAATTAGTTCAAATGGAGTAAGCTGATCTTCAGTAATGAAAAACACAACTTCTAGATTCTTGTGTTGTAATTAGTACTCTGATTTGTTGCACATTAAATGTGATAACAGACAACCGATCTCTTTCAAAGTCATTCAAAATGGTATAGGATTTTCAGCCTCCATACAACTGTGATCTTTAAGCACATGCTTAATTAGTGAAATAATGTTTACAACAGGAGTAATCAATAAAAAATGTCGTTAGTGAAGTTTTTGTTATCTAAATTGACGAAAATAAAGCATACTACAAGAAAGCAAGGTTTCCATCTACCTGTTGAGGACCCTCGACATGTAGCTATTACGTTTTTGAAGAACTCAGGTAGTATGACGATCTCAAACTTTACAGAACATTCTGTTATTATTTAGAAGAATAAATTGCATGTCAAAAACAGGGTCCGATAGTCCTAGAAAACAAACAGTTTTGCTGGCAGACACATGTAATTCACGATACTAACCTCTGCAATGCCTAATAAACTGACTTACTTGCAAATTGAAATCCATCAATATCTACGGCGTTCACCTGCAAAACACCGAATATGCACTGAAATCAAGACGTCAACATTTCTAACGATTTTTAAACTTCTATTTAGTTCATTGCTTCAATTACTCAATGAAAATCATTAACGCCAGAGTGAAATTTCGCTCAACTGAAAAACCTTTGATCGATCACTCGTTGTCAAGAAATAACGTATAGGTTTGCAAAGTCCGTCCTGGTACCAGTTGACGTGGTAGAACCACTAATATACATAGGTAGGAAAAACTAAATAACGCATAAATTTTGTCTTCGTACCGAAAACAAGGCAACAAACAATAAGTGAAGTGAATCATTAGCAGAAATACCTTGAAAGCTACCCAACGTTTCCAAATACACATACATACGCGTTGCGCACGACTTATCGGACAACTTCGAGCTATTCAACAAGAGATTGACCATTATAATTCGGCTGCCTACGGTCGTTCAAACTAAAGGAAAGTAATTTTAAAAGAGATATGGTGTAGAAGACTGAACTATCTGCTACCTTTGGTTTCGATCACAAAATTATCTTGATATGAAGTTTATGCTTTTACTGACTATTATCTCTCCATAACTCCACCTGTAGCTCTTTTAGAGTTAGTGCTGGTGTGAAGACCAGGTAACGAAGAATGATTGGGCGTGGGGTCGGCAACCACATCCCATAGAAACAAAAGGTGCCAAAATCGCCAACCGGATTAAACGAATTAAACCATCTTAAATCTGTTGTGAGAGTTGAAGGAAGAATCATGACATCTCAGGATAAAAACTGACATTCTTCGAAAGTCACAAGGCTGATGCACCTTCTAACAACGAAGGCAATAGTTTTATAGGCACATGTAACGTCCGGACAATGTGGGAGACCGTGAGGACTAATCAAATAGCCACGGAAATGATGAGATACAAAATGGTGGTTATCGAAATCAGCGAAGCTCATTTGACCCCAGCAGGACACTGAAGGTTAGATACGAGAGAGATGCTGCTGTACTCCAGTGACGAAGATAAATAATATCCAAACACTCAAGAGTTTGCTCTGATACTGCCCAAAGAAGCACATTATGAACTTATAGGATGGGAATTCTATGAAGTAAGGATCATCAGAGCATCCTTCAAAGCAAAGAAGGAAGTAATCACGGTGAACGTTATCCAGTGTTATGGACACACCAATGATAGCAACGACGACTATAAATACCAGTTCTATGAGAGGCTGTAATCAATCATAGCGAAGTGATCAAGAGAGGATCACACCATCCTGATGAGGAATCTAAACGTCAAAGTCAAAATGGACAATATCGGACATGAAGATATCATGGGACGACATGGACTGAGAGAGAGAGACGAAAATGGGGAGAGATTTGTAAATTTATGTGCATTCAACAAATTTGTTACAGGTAGCACAATATTCCGCCAC